GCATCATTACCGCACTGAGAGGCAACACGCCCAACGACGAACGAAGACTGTCGAAACTTGGGTGATCACGTCCATTCCAAACTGAGTACAACAGGCAGTGCCACGTGCCCTACTACGTACCGTATGCCGATTGGTCGGTAGATCGATAGTAGCGTCACCTGCCCGGGTCTGTGCAGCGACACGGCTTATGGCCACGTGCATCCAATAGCACGTTATCCAGCCTTATGCGCTGGTGAGAAACTCACTTCACACCTGGAGAGCAGGAAGAAAACAAGAATGTGCACTACGCAATGTGAGACATGCAGTGTAAAGAAAGTGGAGAAGACGAAAACAACGTTGAAAAATCGATTGACCACATAATTGATCATTCACGTTGCCGTGGCAGCGAAAAGAAGTAGCCTTGTTTCCAGTAGTGAGAGATGCGACCAATGAAAACTCAGGAGCATAGTTTTCGTTTGGGTTAGTTTCAATACGACGTTGAATGCTGCATCGGTGACAAGGTAAGGATGATCTGCGTCCTGCCGTTAATTTTCTCTGGCATTGAACGTCTGGCCAGTTTTGCTCGCTGCGAACAAACGGCCACACACTGACACGAATGCCGCACGACAGTTGTGTGATATTAAAACATACACCTTATATACCTTGTACACCTGATACACTTATTAACTAATACCTTATATGATCAATTAACGAGTCAATGAACTGAACTTTTGTTCATTCCTCACTCTGTCTCGTGTGAGGTAACGGCCACAAAGCGTAGTAAAGAAAAATAACCTGTGAAGCGATACAATCGTCCGAATGCGCCTCATGCGACGGAATTGCAGCAGCAGGGATGCGAGCACGTCATCGCCACCATCCGAGCGCTGTGTGGGGGACATAAGGCCAAATTGTTTACTGAAGTTCACAACTAAGCACATGATTTACATTCCGCGTTTTATGGGATCGCGGTCAACGTGCGGATCCAGCAAAGCTGGTTCGCGAACGGTGTCATTACCGTGGAGCGTCAGGTCGAGTTCGTTGGTACAATTAGCAATTAGATGCCATGTCGATGAGTATCGCGAAGTGTTTCGCGCGACAGCAGTTGCGACGCCAAGACCGAGGCCGAGGACGAAAGTGAGAGCGTGGACGAGGACGAGGTTGATGATGAGAAAGACATGCTGATCGCGCAGGAATACGGTGTGCTGCCGTAATAATTGCTATAATTGTTCATCGGTTCTCGTCTCACAGCGTAAACGTCCCGTTCTCCAGAAAAGCCCCCACAAAGCGTAACATTGACTTTGAACGATGAACTGCTATTTGCAAGCTTCATAGCTGAAACCGACCGAGGTTGCACAGTCAGTAGAAACGCCGAACTCAGAACCGAGAGGTTTGGGGTTTGAGTTCCTGTCAGATGTTGATAAATGAGCAGCATTTCGTAGGAAGGCAATGACACGTTATACTCTCATCACCGACCTGTCGATGTAGCCAAACGTACATCAATAAAGCACTCTTAGCGGATAACATGAAAACACAAATTGGCGTTGCAGCATGAATTTCATGAAGGCAGACGGCATTAAGTTGTCCCAGACTAACCATCAACTACGCGGCTTTTTCTTGAATTGCACAAACCTTATGGAATTTGCCATTTTTATCGGATTTTCTTGATAATGCAGCCGGAAATCGTACTGGCAATAAGTATGGATCTATAGAGTGGAGAAGAACACCCCCTTTAGTATCTGTTGTTGTATGCAGCTTGACATGGTCGAACGTGCCAACCTTAAGCAGACCCGGAAAGACTACACTGGCTACGGAAGAGCTGCATCAGATATCGATTGAAAACAAATTTTGAAGAACATTCACGCTTTGGGACAGGCGAAAAGTACCTGATCAAGTAAGTGCAACATTACAACCAATGAAAAAGAAGGGACACCGAGGATACAGACTGTTTGAATTTTCATTGATTTTACCAAAGCTCAATAGGGATATATTATGAAAAGTAAATGAATGGCACAACATCGACAAAAACGTATGCATGTAGAAATCAGCCGAAGCGCAAAACTGCGGATATATAGGACTTGCAACCCGAAGATCTAGTTCTATGGCCTGGAGACGACAGCACTTAACGAAACTCATAACATGATATTCGAAGCAACGAGATTAAAAATATTTAGGTGAACATTCGGAGCAAATTGCGATGATCTGAGGTAAAATGACGTAGTAGGAGAGAAAGAGGTATTTGTAGCCAGAGCAGCCGTCCGTCGAAACTAACACTGAAAGCAAAGGCTGATGACAGCATGCAACCAGGATGAACTCAAAATAGATGACAAGTTCTCGCAAGAACTAACCTGGCATCAAGGAACTGAAAAGTCAGCGTGTATCAGATCATTCAGGCGGCATGCCTGTACGACATCTGACGTCGTTTCCTATGCGACGGAATGGAGGAAAGGATGCACGATCCATGCAAATCGACATTTACCAACAACAGTTAGGTTTTACCACCGGCGGACGACAACAAACACGTGTAACTGCTTTGAGTTTACCCCTTAAATCGTAACTCTCGCCGATATGTACTCGCAGACAGAACTGTTTTCGGTGGTACGTCGAAAAAGTTGGTATTTGGTCCTGATCCAACTGCAGGAATGTAAACTATGCAACTGCAGTAACATAGACGTTTCTCTACACTGTTGAATGTCCCTGCATTTGATCCACTTGATTCTCAGATCGTGCCATCTCTACAGCCTACTTCGTGAAATGTCATGAAAGCATGCTGCTGCCCAAAATAATATGATTGAATTGACGACTAAAGCATGTTTGAAAAATACCAGAAGAGTAACTTTTAATTCATTTAAATATTCAAGCAAATAAGCTGCTCCTGACATATTAATATGGCATCTCGGCTTTCGTTCATATCTGTCGAGTTTGGCCCAGAAGTGACTGTCAACGACGTCGTTCAACTACCAACGGAATGAGATGACTCTTGGTTATAGCATATAGCACTACTGTTAGATAAATACATTTCTTGGATGAATTCTGACGTTTCATCTTCTTCAACGACAGAATCATTATAGCTACATGGCGAAGGGTGTGATTCTGAGTTGACAGTGGATGAACTTCAGGCCAAGTTGAATCAGTACTTTTGTCGGTGTGTGCTTCTTCTGTTGCTTCACTCACATACTCTAAATGCAAAACCGATTAGTTATTTTGATTAAAAATTAGTCAGCAGCGTTGTACCCCCAGCGGGTATTTCATTCTGAATGCATAGACAGTCTATAAAGAGAATATACAAGATATAATGCCAGCCAGAGATAGCAGGTACCAGTATTCAGAAATATAAGTCGAAGCAGCTTAGAGCATCGTATGGCATCCACAGAGAAAATAGTGTAGGAACCGTCTTACTGCCATGCCGCCTGAAAGATCATTTCGCGTTTCACTTTCTTTGTCCAGTAAGGGTTTGCTGTTTAAGACGGCGTAATGGTTGCTTTTTTCGCAGCGTTGGCCACAGGCACTGTCACATCTGAATCAATGCACTAATCACTTGGATTTTTCAGATCCTCTTTTTAATACAGCACTCATACTGAAAAACACATTGCAGAAGTACGAAGTAAATTTTACTAGTTAATTAAGAACCTCACGAACAACAAACAGCAGATGCTACTCATTGCTCATTAACCCATAATTAAGTGGTGTCAGCAATTAAATCCGTTTTAAGTATTAAACGTATTAAATGCGAGGTGTTGTAGACTGTGATGTCACTTTAAATGCAACATTCTTATCGACCAAGGGCCCTGCACTTCACAATACATTGTCAAAATGAATCAAATATAATATTTTGTGCTGAAGTGGAAAGAGTGGGCTTACAAGCTGGTGCACCTCCTCGAAAAAAGCAGATGAAAGCGATCACAGTACTGAGTATGCCTACTGTACCTGTGATGAAGATTTTAGGACGAAATGGATGGATCAGACGATGGTCGGTTGTACGTCTCACGAAAGTCGAGGTGTCCAACGAGCAGAGCACCAGTTGGATGAACCAGCTTCCGAAAATCGTCAATTCACCTCATAATTTTTGTGTATAGGGAAAAATTGG